GTAATGGTTGACAGTGGTCAGAGGAACATGTAATGGTTGACAGTGGTCAGAGGAACATGTAATGGTTGACAGCGGTCTGCAGTTTGATAAACGTGATGATCCTGGCAGTGCATCCTGTCTCAGGTTTTTATCATTTGTCATAGCCTCCTCCTCTTATCATTTCTTAATCTATCTTAAGTTTTTATCTAGTTTGTTTTCTGCTTTCGTTAGAAAATTTGTTGTAAAATTGTGACCCACACCATGTCTGCAGCTCTTTGTTTTAATGAAAGTCAATGGAGCACTTACTTCCTAATTTTCATCATTAAAGACCTCTAAACCCTTAACGAGGGGTCCGATTAAAAAAAACTAAATAGTTGTGACTCTGAACATGGAGCCTAACGAGTACTAAAAGTAAAAACAAGTCCCTGAACCAGGACCACATCATTAATCTGAAGAGTGACCTCTCCAACCCTGGACATGAAGCTGACAGGCCTTCTGATTTGGCCCAGGTGTGTGACGTCACTCACCACTTCCATGTGGGACAGTGATGGACCAGGTGATCTCCAGCTGCTACAAACTGAACAGACAGAAGGTCAGAGAGTTGCCCCACACAGAGCCAGCTGCAGATGGAGATAAAACCCTCTCACCTCCTCTGGTGTGATCACTCCCGTCTCTTTGAACTTAGACTCCTGTCAAAAGAAAACACACACCGTGTAAACGGCTTCACAACCCTGCTCACGTGACAGCTCGGTCCATTGAAAACAGACCAGAGGATACAGGAGCAGAGCAGAGTTTACCTTCAGCACGGGAGTCAGGAACTCGGCCACTCCCAGAGCCGTGCCTTTCACCGTGTTGATCACGTTCTGCATGTCGGCACAACTCTGAACAAACTGCTTCACAACAACAACACAAACACAACACTAACACAACACTACTGTTCTGACATAGCTACGCAGGCGGAAAGCCAACAGGAGCGATCATATGATGCAGCTAGGCACTTCCGGGAATCCTGTTCTCGCGAGACTTGCCGGGACAGGTCGTGAACACGCAAATTAAYGATCATAATTTATATTCAACAAAACCATTGGACATAAAATTTAGCCGAAATCTCAACACGTGTGTGTTTTGTATCTGGTGTGAATCATAATTATTTAAAATAATTCTGTGCTTTTAAAATTGTTATTTTAATAAAGCACAACGGGAGTTTTGAATTGCAACGATTGTAAGCACAGATTTTTAATTTCAATCACGAATATGGAAGTTTTCTGGTCATACTTTCATTTAAGTAGAACGYTGTAACAATAAGACTTGTTTTATGATAATTCGGCTTCATTCACGTGCACAAAAAGTGAACAGAGAAGGAGAAAAGAAGGGAAAAGAGCAGATTTATGTGACGTCATTACGTAGAACAGCGCGTGACGTCACCAGTCAGGTTGTAGCTACCAGCTTCCTGCTGTCTTGGCTCGTCCCAGTGGTGCAGGAGGACCATGATCCGGAGAGTGAAGCTCCTCCACAGGATTCTGAACCGTAAACAGACCCGGTGCTTCTGCAGCCCTGCCGGGTCAGAGTCCGGSCGGACCTGGGTCCGACCCAGCGGGTTCGACACCGGTGTGAAGACCTTCAACAGCCTGACCAAACAGAAGGAGCCGCTCATCCTGAGCAGGGAGGGAGTCGCTACCTGGTACAGAACCACCTGACCCAGTCTGACCCAGTCTGACCCAGTCTGACAGCAGCTGCTGTAACATCTGTTCCTCCTCAGGTACAGCTGCGGACCCACCGTCTACGACCACGCGCACCTGGGCCACGCGTGGTAACTATGGCAACACTCAACGAGCTGAACAGCAGCTAAACATTTAAGTTACTTGTAGCTAAAATTAGTTAACTAGGTAAAATTAATTAAAAGATTAATTTTAAAAGTTTTAACAGTTTAAATTAGCACTAGCTAAAGTTAGTTAAACAGTAGCTGAAGGCTAACGT